AGATGTGAAGTTTAAAAGCTTCCTTGCTACACTGAGCTCCAAAGCTCTTATTTTTAAGAGGATTCTAAAGTTGGCAATCAAATTTCCCCCATCCTTAAATAAAAACCAGTGAATTTAATAGTGTTCTTAACAATAAATATACTAGAGCAGATGTTTTGTCTGCTTTAGAGCTGAATAATATGATCACAAACCCCCAAGAGAAAGAAGGGAAACACGTCTAGGAAGATGTTTTTGAACAAGAGAACTTGGCTCTCCTTGGGCATATTTCCTTTAGCTTCACCACAAAAAGTTACAGCTACTTCAGGTACTTAAAAATATTCCTTTTGGACAATAACTTTTCTCATTTCCCGCACATGTTCACAAGCTCATGTATCTTTTGGTTGCATCTCAACTTTGTGGTTTTCTGCAGTTGGGTAAACCTGTCTGATATAGAGTATCTTCAAATGTCCAGCATGATAAAACTGAAGTGTCTGCTGCATGCGCCTCTGAAAAGGGGGAGAAAAGCACATTTCTTTTATGTTTTCATTATCTTAATGATGATCAGAACTTCTGCTTGTTGGCCAAGTTCATGACAGAATTCCTACCTACCTTCCATGCTACTAAGTGTTGCCTGCCTTTGAATGAAGACAACCTGTAACACATCAGTCATGCTACTATATAGCATGTATCCACATTTTCTATAAACTATGGCTCTAAGAGTAAAACCAAATATAAGATTTTCAATTGCTTAGGTAAGAGTAAAAAATGCTAATAAGTGTGTCCAGAATTAGTGAAACCCTGTTCACAGTCAATGCCTCTGACCTTAACATCCCCAAATTTAGAAAGCAACTTTCTTGCCCTTCTTCTTGCTTTCAATTTCAAAGATAATAGAAATTTCTTGATATGGAATAAAATGACCTTTACAATTTGGTTCTAATTTTTTTTTTTGGTCCATGTTTCTGAGACTATGGAGGAATAGACTTCAGCATAATAACAAGAAAACATTTAACACATTATACAAAACTGGAATTGGTGCCTCTCTTAGATGGTGGGTTCTCTCTCAGTGGATAACCACTTGGCGGTACTGTTTCAAATGTGACAGACATGCAAATGAAAAAAATAGCATGAGTTAATAGATTTCCAAGGTTCAAATCACAACTTCCATACTTACTAGGTTCATGCACTGAGGCTTTTTACTTTCACATATTTATCATCATCATACTCGCTTCATAAAATGCATGAAGATAAAATCAGATACCATACACAAGTAGGATAATCATAATCTATCATCCAAATTAAGTTACTTTTGAGATTGAAGAGGAGATTATTTTATTAATAATTATGTCAAGACAACAGGTGTTCTATCCTGGACATTCTGCAAATAAAACATTTCAAAAATTGCCTCGCACAAACAAGTTGATGAATAGATGTTAGCTCTTATTATTGTTGTGTTATTCCTATTGTCTTTTTCATTGTTGTCATGAAAGAGAATACCTTTAAGGTTTCTTCCCAACCTTGAGATGTTAAGATTTGCTAATGAATAGTTGTCATTTGCAGGCCCTGGTGAACCCAGTACTAAATGGTCGAGCTCAGGAGGGAGCTGAGAGAGAGAGATGAATGGTAAGTGTGAAGAAATATGTTTATTTCCAGAATCAATTTGCTTTGTCTTCAGAGCACCAGCTAAGCATAAAATGGAGAATACCTCTGTCAAATCTGCAAAGGAGATCACTCTATCAATTCAGCAACTTTCTTTCTTCCCATCAAGTTTGTATCATAAAAGCCAAGTAAATTGTGTTGATGTTCTCTGTTATGACATGCACTGACATGATGGATAGGAAGCAACCTTTATGCTGCATAAGAGCAAAGAAAATAATAGTCCCTCACATCCAATGGAGAGTATCAGGTGATGGGATCTCTCTGCATCTCTGTTCGGGGCCCAGAAGCACTTCTGTTCTTGCTTCTTCCCAAGCTAGGGAGAAAAATGATGAAGTCACATTTTTACAAGATAGGATGTAGAGAGGGAGTAGGTTCATACTTTTTACTATGTTGTTGTTAAAAAATAATTTTCATGAAAGGTAATATGAAGATTCTCAGATATAAATTAAACATATGTTAAAATTTTATTTAATTCATTAAAGAAATAAGGGGACTAGCAGATGTCAAACATGGTCAAAGGAAAATCCAAAAGGACAGGCACATGTGTAGATCAAGTCTGCTGAAATGAAGGGGCAAATGAAAGGCAAAGCTGACTCCTTCCTCAGTGGGAGAGGGAAGTCAGCTGAAGTCCTGACAGACTGAATTTACAAGTCCACAGACACGAATACTGTGTATTGTCCTCGATGTCTACAACTAACAGGGCTAGTTGGGAGATAGCCCCCAAAGGGTCAGAATCAGTTAACTCTGAGCTCTTGACTCTGGGTTGGAAAACTATAGCCACGGCCAAGTCACCTGTGTTTGTAAATAAAATTTTATTGAAACCCAACCATTTGTTAATATACTGCTTATCATGCTAAGTGGCAAAGTTGAATAGATAGAACCTTATGAACGGTAAATCTAAATTATTTACTATTGGGCCCTTTAAGGAAATGTTTCCTGGCCTTTGGTAAAGAAAATACATAGGCTTCTACTAAATCATGAATCTTCTCCTATATTCTATAATGGTGAAAAGAGAACTTAGGAACTAGATAAATCTGGATCTGAATCTTAACTCTGTTATTTAATAAATGTATCATTAAAGCAAGTTGTGCAAACTTCCACATATTCAGTTATTAAACAACATAAAAACATTATCTCTTATTAAATAAGTATGATAATGAGTCTATTGTATGATTATGATGAGGGTGAACCAAAACAGGAAGTATAAAGAGGATAGTAGAATTTTCATATAGAAAGTACTAGAGGGTTCAAAAACTGTTAATTTCCATTTATCATCATCTATGTAAATTCATCCATATGGCCCAAACTACCCGTAATTAATTCCCTTAAATGACTGGGCTTCTCATCAAAAGACTGTGGGCCATTCATGCGGCCCAACACAGAATCTAGCCATCACACTGCTCTTCGGGATGGTAAGGAGTGGCCTGGTGTCTAAGCAGGCACAGTGAACTGGGAGTTTGGGGATTAGAGACTCAACCCCGGGAGCCTGGAAAACTCTCCCATCTCTCGGGTTGTCAATTACTTTATCTCTACAGTGAAAGTTCTGGATTAGAGGCAGAAAACTGGTAGGATCCTTCAAGGTGAAGTCCTGTGACGTGATGCCACCATAGCCCCTTCTTTCATTTCACAGTTGGGAGAGTCAAGTTTGGGGTAAAGAAAAAAGGTGACAGGAAGCTGTGGCCATACAGCGGGCAAGCTTTTCACATAATGCTGTGATCTTTCTTTTGTTTTCTAGCAGGCATTCCTTTCGACTGAAGGTGTCTGAAATATTCTGTTATCCATCTGCTCTGCTTCTCAGAGAGCTAACAGAGTTTTGCACACAGTGGCACTTAATTAATATCCAGTGGAGATAGACATACTTCTTTAATGATTATTGTCATTAACTATTTTTCATAGCATTCCTGGGGAAGCCCTGGCAGTATAATTGCCTTGGCTTTACAGGTGAGAAATCCAAAGCCCAGAGAGGCTGAACCCACACAGTTCAGGAATCACAGGGCTGAGAATAGAATTCACCATCTTAAACCCTGGGAATCTGTTCACACAAAATTATAACCAGAGCCTGCCACGGGACTGGGACCCCTGGGGAAAGACATCTCCTGGAAAAGACCAGAGCTTTACATCCAGCCCACAGCGCTGCGCGGAGCGGCCTCTGGGACGCCACGTATTTCTCACACAGCACGTTTTCTCAGCCCTTGTGATGATTTGTACTTAAAAAATATTTTGGTGATTCTAGATACCTGTTAACGTAGCTTTCTAATTCTTGGGTAAAACATCTAAGCTTAAAGACATGCCCTAGTAATGAATTTAGCAGGTTTAAAGTACTGGTAATTAAGAAAGTATGTAGAAGAAGAAGCATGATTTATTTCACTCACTTATTCAACAAATATTTATTGCATGCCTACTACCTGTCAGGCACTGATGCAGACATTGGGAATACAGCCATGGCCAAAATCTGTCTCCCGATAGAAATTAGAGTCCAGTGGGATACAGAAAATATGTAAATAGATATAAGGTTAGTATTAACAAATGCAATGAAGAATCATAAAATAAGAGTCGGAAAAGAAAGCAGAGAGAGCGTAGGGAGTTGACTGTGCTTATATAGATTGCCAGGAAAGGCCTTTCAAGGACGGTGACATTCAAGAAGAGGCCTAAATACAGTGAGGAGGTGATGCTGTGACTGTCCGGGGCCTTCCTGGAACAGGGCTCCCCCCTACGCTCCGCTTTAGCGCCTCTCTAAAGGGCCAAGGTAGCGTTCCATGCACATTTCCTGAGTTCTTTCACAGTTGTGAACCTCCCTCCCAAATGGAAGATGTGGACTACTTGTGACCTTGAGCATGTAGCCCCAGGCCTCTTGGAGATTAAGGAGTGATACTGTGAACCCCTGTGACAGCGCCCTGTTGCTCAGCGCAGCATCAGTCAGCCGGAGGATTGCGCAGGAGCTGACCCCTCCCCTCCTCATCGTTTAAAAACGCTTTGCCGACACCTTTCAGGGAGCGCGGGGATTTTGAGAGTGTGAGCAGTCGCTCTCCTTGCCTGGGTCAGCGATAAACCTTTCTCTTCTCTGAACTCTGATGTTCCATTTGTTTGGCCACACTGGGTGCCGGGCAGGCTCCCTGGGCAGCTCAGCAGTCCAGAATCCACCTGCAATGCAGGAGACGAGTTTGATCCCCGGGTCGGGAAGATCCCCTGGGGGAGGCACGGCAGCCCTCTGCAGTGTTCTCGCCTGGAGAGCCCCATGGACAGAGGAGCCTGGCGGGCTGCAGACCATGCGAGTTGGACTCCCAAAGTGTCGGACACGCCTGAAGCGGCTGGGCACACACGCACGTGCGTCAGGCAGGTGAGCGTGCGCCAGCGGTGCTGGAGAGATGCTGCCGGATTTATCGCGCCCCAAGGCCTCAAGGCGCCGCATGCTCCCGGGACTGCAAGGAGGCCAGCGAGCTGGCGCGTGGCTCGGCGGGGGCGTCCAACACTCGCGGCGGACAGCGAGCCCAGCAAGTCGCGCCCAGGAGTCTGAACTGCATCCCGAGCGAGAAGAGGCAGCGCCGGCGCTGGAGGCGGAGCGCGAACCTGCTCTGGTTTGCATTTGCGCGGAGATGGCGCGGGCAGAGGCAGTGGGGTCCAGAGCAGGGGCGTTCCGAGGCTTGGCTGAGGCGGAGGTGAGGCGTCTCAGGGTGGCCCTTTGCGAACGGTAGACAAAGTTTAGCGATGGGATGTATTTCGAAGATAAAGCCAGCTTGTTTTCTAAAGGATTAGATGTGACAGACAGAGGGTCGCGGATGAGAGCAAGCTTTTTGGCTGAGCACTCAAGTGCCTGGTGATGCAGCGTTTTAGTTTTAGATGAGTTCAATTTGAGATGTTTGAAGTCTAACTGAAACTGTTCAGTAAAAGCAGGATTTGGAGTCTGGGGTTCAGAGAAGTTGGGACTAAATACATTTGTGGAGCAATCAGTATAAAAAGTTCTTTCAGGCTGTTCAGTAACATCTTAAACTCTTGGCCAACCTGGTAGATGATGTTTAAAGCCAGAGACTTGGTCAGGACCACATCAGGAGAGTGTAATTAGAGACGCAGCTCTGGCCTTGCGGTATTTGGATGCTGAGAAGTGGGAGAAGATCCATTCAATAAACTGAGAAGAAAAAGCCAGATGATTCTGAGACCCCAAGAGACAGGCGAGGAGTATCTGAAGGAGGCGTGGTTGCCAGAACCAAATGCCACTGAGATTCAGAATTAGAGGAGGAGGGACTGTTGAATCGGTCACGTGGACTTCGGTAAGGAGACCCTTTTGATTAGATTAAAATGATGTTAGTGGAGAGGTGGGAATGAAAACCTTATCAGAAGTCACTCAAAAAGGAATTAGAGGGCGGACGTTGGAAAAAGCAGACATTTTTTCAGAATTAATAAAAAAGTATCAGAGGAAGAAATAGCATGTTTTAATGAGAAGATAGTGCATCCTGCTTAAAGGCTGATGGGAAGAGTGCAGTGAGTAGCGGCTGCCAGGGAAAGGGAGGTCTTGTTGGGGTAGTGAGTAGTGAAATTTTAAAGAGTCAGGGGAGTAGAAATTCCTGTGGCTTAAAAATTCACTGGATGTGTTACCAGGAGTGAGCTAGAAACAAAACAGGTGAGAAAGGGGGATGCGTGAAGTTGAGGCTTGTTAATAAATGAGGTCCATGGGAGGAGGAGAAGGAGGTTATCGGCTCCTGGTGTGTTATACCTGCTCCTCAACTTATCCCTAGAGGACATTGTTAGTTCTGCTTTATTTTCACCACAAACACTCAAAAGGTATATAACTAGAATATACAGAATGAAGTAAGTCAGGAAAATAAAAATAAATATTGTCTATTAATGCGTATATGTGGAATCTAGAACAATGGTAGAGACGACTTTATTTGCAAAGCAGAAATGGAGAACAAACATATGGATACCAAGGGGGAAATGGGGTGAGATGAAATGGTAGATTGGGATTGAGTGCATACACTATCGGTACTGTGTGTAAATCAGACAACTGAAGAGAGCCACTGCATATCCCAGGCGGTGCGCCTCAGGGCTCTGTGGTGACCTCCATTGAAGGAAACCCACAAAAGAGGGGATGTGTATATATATGTGTGTGTACAACCGATTCACTTTGCTGCACAGGAGAAGCTAACCCAGGGAGCAGGAAACACCACCCGCTCCAGGATTCCTGCCTGGAGACAGTCCATGAGATTGCAAAGAGCCAGGCATGACTGCAGCAGCTTAGCACACACAATGCATTAAGTAACACAACTGTGTGTGTGTGTGTGTGTCTGTGTGTGTGTGTGCACGCTCAGTGGTGTCCGACCCTTTTCAACACCATGGACTCTAGCCTGCCAGGCTCCTCTGTCAATGGGATTTTCCAGGCAAAAACACTTCTATAAAAATTAATTTTATTCATTTTCTAAGTCATTTTGCTTTACCTTGAAGAAGAGAAACTGTTGTTTCACTGACACAAATCAGCAAGATCTAATTTATGGCAAGAAATACTCCATTGAAATGCTGTGCTGTAATGTGGGAAAATGTAAATCTTTTTCACAGTTTTCACCAAAGTGAAATAAAATTGAACTCTGAGAAAAAGGTATATATCTAGGATAAAATTTAAATTTAACACCATTTTTCTCTATGCCGAGGTTGTTCTTTATGTATTCACAGCATTCTGCAATAGAAATGTGTGGGGGGGAGGATAATTTCCAGAACAGAGGCTGCGTGTTGAGTCCAGGGCACAGGTGGATGGGCTGGTTTTAGAGCTGCAGGCAGCTCACCCATTCCAACAGAAGGAAAGTGGTGTCTGCGGAGAGAAAAGAGGAAGGTTGGTGAGCTTAGGAGAGGTGCAAGGACTTGGAAGCCCCGTTTTGCTTGCGGTTTTCTCAGTGAGAGGAGTAGCGGGCCTCCTGAGAAGGCAGCGTGAGTTGAGCGTGGAAACAGCAGGATGGCTAGGCACCCTGAGGGCCCGTGAGTCTCTTGGTCATAAATTTAAAGGAAGACCAGCCGGCACATTCATGTGAACTGCAAAATTGGGGTTTTCTGTTGAAATAAATTTTTTTATTGAATTCCTACTTCATCTTTTCTTGTTTACTACCATCCAACATAATATCCCCAGGCAATGAGGAAAGGATTTTATTTACATGAAAATTGGATGATAAAATTAGGCAGCCCACATCTTCTCCTTTCTGGAAGCAAATTGGCTCTGTACTTAAACTAATTCCTTTGCTTCAATTGAAGAATGTTTTAGATGCACTGTTTCTTCTACAGATATGCATGCTAACAGGATTTCATTTTATGTTTTGAGAAGAAATAACTTTTATGTTATGTAAGTCATAGTACTCATTGTGTAAAATGGAGAAGAACCAGCTAAAAACATAAGGACATAAAAGTCATCAATGTTCCTATCAACCAGTGATAGTCACTGGTTGTGTTTTAGTGCATTTCTTCCTAAGAGCGCCTAGATAAAGAGATTTATTTCTCTCCCTATGGGCACTATTCTTTAAAAGCTTTATCTATAATTTTTGTATGTAGTAATATATCCCAATGTCTTTCAATGTCATTCTTCTAGCATACGATTTTTAACACATTCTTTTCTGTGATAGTCCCAATGATATTGTGCACAGTTTTTTCATGGAACTGACAGATTGATTCTAAAATTCAAATGGAAGAGATGAAGTGTAAGAATGTCCAAGAACATTTTGAAAAAAAGAAAAGCAAGAAATATATATTCTTTAACAATGCATTTCTAAAGCACATGTTTTATTGCAATATTAGTGCTTCTACAAAATGACATTTCTATAGGAAAACATACTGAAGCATTCCTTCTAATAATTCAGATTTAGAAATCACTGAAGTGTTTTTCAATAGGTGACCAGGTAAATGAACAATAATACATAATTTAAAAGACACAGTTTCCAAAACATATTGACCAGTGAAAAAATATAATTAAATCATAGAAATAATTTTTTAATTAAATAAGAACAACAAAACTTTGTATATTTAAGTGCATTTAAAATAAAATCTACAAGGATACATGCCAAACAAATAACAGAGATTATCTGTAAGATAAAAATGGGATCTGGGGAAGAACAAGTAAAAACTTATTTGGGAAACATTTGCATTTTTTACTGTGTATAATTGTCATAAATATTTATATTGAGAATGTGGTATTTATCATTTATCAATTATTTATGTAGATATTTACATAAATAGTATATAATATATTACAAAGCATCAAAATAGAAGTATTAGCAAAAGCAGAATTCATTGGCAAAGTTTTGGAGCTTGCTGTCATCTGAGATAGGTGTGTTTTTGTATGGGACAATGGAGGTCTTATCGAATGAGTTAAGTTGAAGTTAAGGTGCAAAGGATCAACAAATACTGGGCAAAAATATCAGAGACATAGGAAACAGCATGCATGAAAGCTCAGAGGCAGGAGAAAGCATTGCGTGTTTGGGGAACAGCATGAAGAGTAGCCGAAGCATCAAGATTAATCAGGGTGATAACACAGGGCGAGGATGATGAAATCTGCACTGCTCCAGTCAGGAAGGGCCTTGCAATCCGTGCTAAGGTTTGGAGATCATGTTAGACAGCAGTAAAGAATTTTTAAGTTTAGGGGTGACACAGTGTGACTTCTTAAATTTAAAACATTTAAAAATTTAAAAAAATCTCATGTGTGCCTGAGAATGGAGACTGGACTGGCAGACAGCATATTAGATAACGGGGACCTGTCTATGCACAGCGGTCCCGGCGAAACAAGACAATAAATGGACAAGGGTTGTAGCAAGGGAAACAGAAACGACTGGATTAACAAGGAATATTCATGAATGGGGGATTAACAGAAATTGCTGGTAGGTTGGCTCTGAAGGAAAAAACAACCGAGCTTTATGCTTTAAAGCAGAGGCATGGAGTTCCCTGGTGGCCCAATGGTTAAGAATCTGCCTGCCAATGCAGGGACACAGGTTCCATCCCTGGGTTGGGAAGATCCCCTGGAGAAGGGAATGGCTACCCACTCCAGTATTCTAATATGTTGTATGTTACAGTATATATAGTATATTATACTGTATATACATAATGTATATATAATATACTATTATTACTGATAGCCAGCATGATGTATATTATTTCCATGGTACTTATTCATTTTCTAGGTGGAAGTATGTATGCTTTGACCACTATCTCCCTGTTTCCTCCACTCTTTACCCCTTGACAACCACCATTCTACTTTCTACTTTTTCAAGTTCAGCTCTTTTAGATTCCATGTATGAGTGAGAATATACATAATATTGGGACTTCTATGGCAGTGTTAAGGGCCCACCTGCCAGTGCAGGAGACACGGGTTTGATCCCTGGGTTGAGAAGATCCCCTGGAGAAAGAAAAGGCAACGCACTGCAATATTCTTGCTTGGGTAATCCCATGGATAGAGGAGTATGGTAGGTCTCTGGGGTCACAGGGTTGGACATGACTTAGCGACCAAACAGCAACAACATGTATAATAATTGTCTTTCTCTGACTTTTTTCATTTAGTATAAAGCCCTGAAGCTTTATCCCTGTTGTCACAAAAGACAAGATGTTCTTTTTATGGCTGAATTATATCCTTCTGACTGTATGCAAGTGTGTATGTGCATATGTGTATCCCATTTTCTTTATCCATTCATCCTTT